GGCCTGCTGTTTATCATATGAAAAGACAGGGTTCAATCTTGAGCTTCTTGACCATGGAACCATAAGCAATCAAGAGGTTGGTATGAGGACTCGATGGAGAAGTGCTGAAGAAAAAGAGGTTATGTTCACTGTATACAGTATACCCGTAGAGGAAGGCTTTAGAGGGCTCACATGCCAGTCCGTCTGCAGGGTCCGCAGTCTCCTGGCACGAGAGGAGGGCTAACAAGATGACAACAGAGCCTAGCGGACCTCAACTTCGCTGTGGATGAAAGAAATTATATTGGCATGTATTTCTGGGATTGTAACATTTATGTACATTTAAACTGGCAGGGAACAGTAATATTAAGTGACTGTGGCCACTGATGTTAGCTGTTAAAATCACTAGCATAACATGCTTTCCTGTGGATCGTTAGATATCTTTTTTTATCCATAATGTCTGTTGGTCTGTATGTTGGTTAGTCAAATGAGCAGTCCACTACATTTGTCCAGACTGAAATATCTTGACCACTATAACTGGACTGCCATGACATTTTGTGCAGACATTCATGGTTTTCAACCAGGTCGCTGGCTATGTTTTATTGCATTTTTAGCACAGGCTTTCATTTTAGAAAGCCACTAATCTGGACTCTCACATAACTTGCTTTAAAATAATTAGAATTTTTAAATAATTTAAAAAACTTGGAACAATAGCAAGAGTGCCAAAGAAAGGCTTGACGGCAGTCGATGTCTGATGGGTCAGTCTAAGGTTTTGTGAGGAGAACAGTGGCTCTAAAAGACAGATGTTTTTCAGCCAGATGTCAGGGAGGGGTTGACGATAGCAATCAAAAAGTAGAGCACATCAGCAGTGATAGCCTGTGAGGGGAGGAGTGGGTTCAAGCGGGCAGGAGTTAAGTCTGATCATGGGATTTTGTTAAGACTTCAATTTGCTTTATTTTAAAAAGGGGCTAGAAGTATATGAAAAAGCTCTAAACTGGTAAAATAGATCTCTGCACACTTAAATCTGTGCAGAGATCACTTTACTTTTAGCTTCGGTCTAAAGGACCTTCATCAGAGCATACATGGTTCCCATGTGTTGAGGGTGACATTAAGAGCATGTTAGAGGGGTCAGAGGAGGAGAGGGTGACCAGACGATATCCCGGAGGATGAACCTCAGCTGTCTTCACTCTTTTTGTGAAGAGAAAAGAGGAGGAAGTAGTGCTGACACAAGAGGAGAGGATGGAGACAAACTTCTGTGGGTCAGAAGCAGGAGACTGGAAGTAACACATGGCAGGTTTGCCAGCAGAGAGACAGAGAAAGAGAGGAGATGAGATTATAAAACTCAAGAAAGCCAGACTTGTGACATTTTGACCCAGCTGCCTGGAGGCTTGACCATTTCATTCAACCAGGTGGTTTACAAGGAGCAGGCGGGGGCAGATAGACAAGCTTAGATGAAAGGGGAGAATGTCCAGAGGGGATAAGAGGGCAGGTATAAATGTTGAGGTCACCGAGGACAGGAAGGAGTCAGCAGGAAGGAGTAATAAGAGTTGAGCTGAGGACAGGTGGGAGCCGATAAATCACTTGCTAGTGGTGTGAGGAAAACCAGTTTAGGAGAGATCTTATGGAGGGGAGTGGAGAGGGAAATAAGTGCTGCTCAACAAGACAGCAAGGGTCAAGAGAGGCTAGTGTCAAGGGCCTTGTTCTTTCCTCCTTTTTTATCTCAGAAATGTCTGAATGATTCAAGAGGCCTAGAAATAGTAAGGGCCATGGAATAAGCCAGGGATTATATGTATTTGTTGTTTCAGAACTGTCATCATAGGGCCAATAATTTCTATTTGTGCTTGTGGTTGTTTGTGAACTACTTACATTTTTAGAAATGCCCTCAATCCCTTTTCCTTATTAGATATCAGATGTCTCAATACAGATGAAAAATCTGAGTTTGGCATGGCCCCAACTTAAATCTTACATCTATGGACAAAGCTCCTTTGATGTTTCCAAAGTCTAAAAGTAAAGATCGAAGTATTTCTGCTCAGGGTTACTAAACATTATAGCAACCTATCAGAGAAATGCTGTTAGTAAATTTGGATAACCATCGAAAATAGTCCCGTCCATAGATCTGCTTGTGATGTGTCTCATGTCTCTTATCCCCATTTCATTCAAGTCCTCGAAACCTCTTATCACATCTGGCTGTCTGTTCAATCTATTTGAACAATTGATTGGCTGAGTGACTTTCCTCAGTTTTCGGAGCAAAGTGGAAGAAAGAAACGTCTTCATTCTCTGTCTAGCTCCTCCTTTTAACTGTATCCGTCACTATGGTTGAGTGCTTTTTGTCCTTTCACTATATGTGTAAATCTTCTCAGTGAAACTATACATTTGTCTGTTAATCTGTGTCAATTATACAAACTTCTTTGCATTGATTGCACTTAGCCATTAATGCCACAGTTTAATGGGATTCCAGCCGTATACATGGAAGTACTATGTGCAGAGTGTGTGTTTGATCTCCATGATGTCCTCTCTATCCTGCATTTGAACAACTTTTCTCCATCACATGTAAAATGTTTTGTCATTACATTTTTAGAATATGTCTTCTGCAGTAAATACTGAGACTCTGAGATATTTTAGTAAAATATAGTATTATTCCTCCAGAGGATGTTCATTTGTATTTAGTTCCCTTTCTTGTAGCTGTTTTAATTTTGTCAAGCTGAAATGGGACTTTAAGCCCTCCCTATGGGATGCAGTATTGGCCAAATAATCAAGAGTATTTTCACTTCTGCATTCACTTAGAGTAACTAGACTGTCAATAAATGTGACCCAGTTGAAATTTTCCCACGCAGTGATTTCCAGTCAATTACTCGAACATCAGCTGCTTAGCAGCACCCTGTGACAACAGTCATGAGAAAACCTCAGGCCCCACCCGTTTACCACTTCACACTGTCACTTCCTTCCTATTTTATTGGAATGAGCAAATAAGGAACAGTTCTATACCTCATTTGATTCTTTTTTTTAGCAGCTTTTCTGCCATTGAGTAGCTTGTTTTTTATTGTTGGCACAGACTCCTTCCACATGACAGTCACAAGGCATGATCTCATCTCCCTCCTCAATAGTGGATTTTATTTATGGTCATCTCGAAAACAGATTCCCAGTGTTGCTCAAATCAATCCTTCAATGAATACCCTCATAATTTACAGTCAATATAGGATGAATAAGAATCATTTAAAAAATAATCAACCACACAGTCCTTACATGTTTGGTATGTATGTATGTATGTATTGTATGGTCCCCATAGTCTGACTGAAAACACCATCAACACTAAAACGGTGATTAATAATCTTTATACCACATGTTGAGTTGCCTACTTGGTAGAAATTGTATCATTGTTAGTGGTTGAGGTTTGCAAAAACGTCTCTGTATGAATGTTGCATTAAACAGAATCTAAATTGTATGATAAGTGGGATATTTAATTCTTTAAAGATTAGAAATGGCAAAAACCAAACTTTTATTTGGGGATAGACACATAGACACATTAGCAGACATGTTGGGGTCAGCCGGGGTTTATACACTAATTAGAGTGGAATCCGTCACCTGTCACCTCATCACACATAGGCCAAGTTCATTCAGGAGTAATTTAATTGCATACTTTATGTCAGAATTATTCTTGCCCCAGCGGCTTCATTGTATGGCGAGGACAAACACTTTCTATGTCATGATTTCGTACACTGAGGATGAAAGTCAAGACTTTGGACAGTATGTTCTCTTCTTGGTTGCAAATCATTTGATGCAGCACAATTATGAAAGATGAAGAGTCCCATCCCAAACACATTTAAAGCACTTTTGACACCACCCAAAAACACATTTACTACACCATGGAAATTTGCATAAGTTGTTTTATTCATAGTTATTGTCCTCTTTATACTTCTTTTTTAGTTGTTTTGTCTTTTGTTGAAGTGGACATCCCGTCAAGTCAAGCTTGAAGCCCTTAGCTTAGTTGTTTGCACATCACCCTCTGAACTGAAAAGAAAGGGTAAGAGGAGGAGTGGAGTGGGGTTTTCCTCCTTCTCTTTCTCTCGCTCTCTCTTTCTCTCATTTACAGTATCCCAACTCAACCTATATTTTCATTTGTTTGAACAAAGAGTGTACCTTACAGTATATTTACACATCATACTGACTGGCTGTTAAACAATTTCCACTTAGACAATGCAAGGAAGATTGAACTTTCACGATTTGCTTCTTCGTTTTCATGTTTTTCTACAGTCTTGTTGTCCTTTGATCCAGTTTTTCCTCTCATGCCAACTTTGCAGTGAGATTTTCCTTGACATTGTTGTAATCATCATCACCCCTACCATCATCATCAATCATCTTTTTCATCATCATCATAAATTCATATTCACCATTATTATATTGATATAACTCTTTTCAATAGATTCCTCTCTGACAACTGTACTGTACAATCATACACAGTGTTTGACTTATATATATATATGTATATATGTATATATATATATATATACATGTGTGTGTATATAT